CGTGGTGGCTCACATCTGTAATCGCAACACTTTGGGAGGCTGAGGCTAGTGGATCACCTGAGGTCAGGAATCTGACACCAGTCTGACTAACATGGTGAAACCCCATCTCTACTAAAAATACAAAAATCAGCTGGGCTTGGTGGCGAGCACCTGTAATCCCAGCTACTCAGGAGGCTGAGGCAGGAGAATCACTTAAACCTGGGAGGCGGAGGTCACAGTGAGCCAAGCTTACACCATTGCACTCCAGCCTGAACAACAAAAGCAAAACGCTGTCTCAAAAAAAAAAAAAAGAAAGAAAGAAAAAAAAGGTTGACCTTGGTATTTTGTGCCTGGTCATATATAGCTCCTTTTGAAATAAAAAACATATTGCCATTTTATAAATAAAAAAAAACAAAAAACAAAAAACTGACTCTCTTTGGTTTAGCAAATTGGGTAGTGAGGCATAAAATATCTCAGAAGGGATGATTTATTCATCATTTGGCTCTAGATATTTTCTAATTTCTTTTATGATTTAGTCTTTGTACCAGAAGATATTTAAAACTGGGTGGCTTAATCTGTGAATTTTCTAGTTATCTTTTTCCTAAAGGTATCTGTATTTCTTTTCACTCTCTCTCTCTTTTTTTTTTTTTTTTTTTTTCTCTCTCTGCTGCTCAGGCTGGAGTTCAGTGCAGTGGTGCAATCATAGCTCACTGCAGCCTCAACTTCCTGGGCTCAAGTGACCCTCTCGCCTTAAACCGCACTCCCCGCCGAGTAGCTGAGACTGCAGGTATGTACCACCACACCCAACTAATTTAGTTTTTACTTTGTTGCCTAGGCTGGTCTTGAATTCCTGGCCTCATGCGACACTCCCACCTTTGCCTCCCAATGCACTGGGAGCCACCATGCCCAGACCTATATTTCTATTAACAGTGATGTTTTAGCATAGTTCTGTGAAGCCCAGGGAACAGATCCTCTATGATTTCAGTGATGTGAAAGTTGTTGAGACTTGCTTTGTTGTCCAGCATACATCAACTTTATAAATGTTTCAAATACACTTGCAATGTTTTCTGTGGCTGTCGGTGGGAGTGTTCCTCTTGTCAACTGCGTCACATTTATCAACCTTGTTCAAGCCTTCTGTATTGCTGTCAATTTGCTTATTTTTTGCTTGTTGTGAGTGTTTGTTTCTTCTATCATTTACTGAGAGAGGGGTGTTAAAATCTCTCACTGAAAGTATGACTTCACTTCTTTCTTCAGTTTTTGCTATATATATTTTGAGGCTAAGTTTTCAGGTTGAATACAGATTTAGAATTCTTGTATCTTCTGGTGAACTTAACCTTTTTTTCATAATGAACTTTTCCTATTTATCTCTAGCTATGCTTTCTGCTTTAAACCACTAATTTAATATTAATATAGTTACACCATCTTTCCATCTTTCTTCTGTTTAATGCTTGCATCTTTTCTTTCTTTCTTTTTTTTTTTTTTTTTTTGAGTCTCACTCTGTCACCCAGGCTGGAGTACAGTGGCTCTATCTCAGCTCACTGGAACCTCCCCCTCCTAGGTTCAAGTGATTCTCCTGTCTCAGCCTGCTGAGTAGCTGGGATTACAAGCGCTTACCACCATACCTGGCTAATTTTGGTATTTTTAGTAGAGACTAGTTTCACCATGTTGGCCAGGCTGGTCTTGAACTCCTGACCTGAGATGATCCACCCACCTCAGCATCCCAAAGTGCTGGGATTACAGGCATGAGCCACATCGCACCTGGCCCATCTTTTTTCCTATCCAATTACTCTAGATCATTTTGAATATTTTATATGTCTTTCTTTAATTTTTAAATATTTCCTTTACACATATTTTCACTGATTTTCAAAAATTAAATTATAGACATTGTGACTATTCAAACCAACATATCTTCAAAAATAATCCCCTAATATCATCTAACACCTAGCCCACACTCAGCTAACTCCAGTTGTTTATAACGTGACTTTTAGAACTGTGTGTGTTATTGCATTTAACTGCATGGCTCTTAGTCTTTTAACATCTAAAATAAGCTAACTTAGTTGATAAATTGTTATGTCAAGAGTGACATAGAAAATGAAACAGATATTTTTAAAATCACTCTTAAAAATATATAAGGAATATATTTAGTACATCCCGTTTATAAGAAAAATCAGAAAGATACAGAAGGTAGAAGAAAATAAATATTTTTATGGCTTTTACCAATTGTGAGCATGACTAGCTTCCTGGTACATTTATCTCTGTCTAGCTCTCTATCTGTCAATATTTTTACATGGCAAGACCAGTCTGTGTGTAATTCTGCATTTACTGTAGGCAGTTTAATATCTTGCTTTGTATCTTTAAAATTAATATTATTGTAATTTTTTTTAAGAGACAGGGTCTCACTTTGTTGCCCAGGCTAGGCTGGAGGGCTGTGGCATGAGCCCAGCTCAAACTCCTGGGCTCAAGTGATCCTCCTGCTTCAGTCTTCCAAGTAGTTGGAAGTACAGGTGCATACCACGGCACCCAGCTCATTAAAAACAAACAAACAAACAAACATTTTTGGCCGGGCACGGTGGCTCACGCCAATAATCCCAGCACTTTGGGAGGCAGAGTGGGGTGGATCACGAGGTCAAGAGATCGAGACCATCCTGGTCAACATGGTGAAACCCTGTCTTTACTAAAAATACAAAAAAAAAATTAGCTGGGCATGGTGGCACACACCTGTAGTCCCAGCTACTTGGGAGGCTGAGGCAGGAGAATTGCTTGAACCCAGGAGGCGGAGGTTGCAGTGAGCCGAGATTGTGCCATTGCATTCCAGCCTGGGTAACAAGAGCGAAACTCCGTTTCAAAAAAAAAAAAAATTTTAATACAGATGGGATTGCTTGCTTTGTTGCCTAGCCAGGTCTCAAACTCCTGGACTCAAGCTATCCTCTCACCTCAGCCTCCCAAGGCACTGGGATTACAGGAGTGAGCCACCACACCCACCAGTAATTATAATTTTTAATGGCTGCATAATGTACTGTTAAGTGACTGTACCATAATTTTGTAAACAATCATCTTCTGTTGAATATTTAGATTTTTTCAACTGTAATTATTAATAAAAATAAACACATTTTTGAAGAAATGTTAGTCTGCTTCACATTATAGCCTAATCATAGACTCTTAAAAGTTGAATTTCTTTTTTTTTTTTCTTTTTGAGATGTAGTTTCACTCTTGTCGCTGAAGCTGGAGTGCAATGGCACGATCTCGGAGCACTGCAACCTCCGCCTCCCAGGTTCAAGTGCCAAAGCACCCTAACCAAGTGATTTAAAACTAACATCACCAATGTTGAGACACATGGACATCACGTGCCCCCTGATATATACTGCACTAACAAGGAAAGGACATCACTACAGCAGGTCCCTACCCCTAATCCATGACCTACATAACCTAAGTTTAAACATGATGAAATCTCAGTGAAACTCAGAAGGAAGGACCCTCTACCAAAAAAAAAAAAAAAAAAAAAAAAAAGAAGAGTATTGATTTACAGAAAATATCAGACCAGTGACATTTTAAAATGTCAAATGAAGGCCGGGCACTGTGGCTCACACCTGTAATCCCAGCACTTTGGGAAGCCGAGGCAGGTGGATCCCCTGAGGCCAGGAGTTTGAGACCAGCCTGGCCAACATGGTGAAATCCTGTCTCTACTGAAAATATCAAAAATTAGCCAGGCGTGGTGACAGATGCCTGCAGTACCAGCTACTCGGGAAGCTGAGGCAGGAGAATGGCTTGAACCCGGGAGTCAGAGGTTGCAGTGAGCCGAGATAGTGCCACTGCACTCCAGCCTGGGCGACAGTTCAAAAAAAAAAAAAAATCAAGTTAAGGAAACTAAGAACAGCCGAGAAGTTTCTCCATATTAAAGGAAACAAAGGAGATGTGGCAACTCAGTACAAGGCGTGATCCTAGACTGGATCCTAACCTGGGGAAAAAAATAGTTTATAATTAATTATTGGGACATCACTGGAACAATTGAGAAAATGTGAATTTACATTTGAACTATGGCTTACATAGATACAAAGCAAGACAGCAAGTTGGGCAAGACATAAACAAAGAATGAATGTAAAGGGCATATGGGAGTTCCTTGCACAATTCTTGAAACTTTTCTTGAGAAGAAAGGAAATAATTGTTCCTGAAAGATCATACCAGCATGGGTAGAAATAAACCCTGTCTTGTTTCCTTTTTGGCTTTCTAATTTAAAGTCAATATTTTAATAATCTTTTTGAAGCTCCAGTTGGCTGCTCTCAGCCTGCAAATGGACCACTACCAATATGTAATTAAAGGAGAATAACAAATAGAATATAGATTACACAGGTGCTGACTTACAAATGCAAATGTTGTAGCAGAAGATGAAGCTCCCAGGAGGCTAGAGGTGTGCATCTTTGCTTATTGCCATCATAATTCATTAATGGTCAAGGTAACGCTGAGATCAATATTCCTGCAGTCATGGGAATGAGAAAAAATGATCCCCAGCAAAACAAGGTGCAAAGACAGTCTCAAAATGTTTCTCCCTACATAATTAAGAAACCAGTCATTGTCATGAATTTTAAAACTTCACAGATTTTCTTAGCTATTGTATGTTCAAGAGGTGGCATACATTAAAGGATCTTGAAAAGAATTATTGTTCACTTGCAGTGGTTCGCAAGCAGATCCCTGGGCCCCAGTGAAGGTAATCAGATTCAGTGGGGTTGTGTTTGAAATCATGGAATCTGCATTTTTAGCAAGTGTTGCATGGACCACACTTCGAGAAATATTAAAAAAGACAACTGCTATGGCACAAATGACAGCATAGAGTAAATAATACAATTACATTATAGTCATAAGTGCATTTATAATTAATTAAATGGTATAAATGAAACTGTATAGAGAAGCTTATGATTTCCACTGCCAGTCCCATTTCCTGTGAAGACTTTTTTAAATGTTTTATTTCATTTCTAATTTACATATAATTATACATATTTATGGGGTACAGAGTGACATTTCAATACATGTCTACATTGTGTGATGATCAAATCAGAGCAATTAGCATATCCATCAGCCCAAACATTTATCATTTCTTTGTGGTGAGAACATTCAAAATTCTTTCATCTAGTTACTTTGAAAAACACAATGCAATATTGTTAACGATGGTCATCCTACTGTGCAACAGAACACCAGAACTTGTTCCTCCTGTCTGCAATTTTGTACCTATTGATCAGTCTCTCCTCATGCCCCCCCACCCCCTCACCCCTCCTCATCCTCTGGTAACCACTATTCTACTCTGTATTTCTATGACATCAGCTTTCTGAAATTCTGCAAATCAGTGAAATCATGTGATATTTGTCTTTCTGTACCTGGCTTATTTCAGTTAATCCAAAGACCTCCAGGTTCATCCATGTTTCCACAAATGACAGGATCTCATTCTTTTTTATGGGGGAATAGCATTCCATTGAGTATATACACTGCATTTTCTTGATCCATTCACCTGTTATTGGACACTTAGACTGATTCTGTATCTTGGTTAATGTGAATAGTGTTGCAATAAACATGGGAGTGCAGCTATATCTCTTTAACATACTGATTTTAGTTAGTGTTTATTTTAATTTTTCTGTAAGTTATTGGGGTACAGGTAGTATTTGGTTACATAAGTTCTTTAGTGGTGATTTGTGAGATTTTGGTGCACCTATCACCCAAGCAATATACCCTACACCCTATTTGTATCTTTTATCTCTCATCTCTCTTCCACCCTTCCCCCCAAGTTCCCAGAGTCCATTGTGTCATTCTTATGCCTTTGTGTCCTCATAGCTTAGCTCCCACATATCAGTGAGAACATATGATGTTTGGTTTTTCCATTCCTGAGTTACTCCACTTAGAATAATTGTCTCCAATCTTATCTAGGTCGCTGCAAATGCCATTAATTTATTCCTTTTTATGGCTGAGTAGTATTCCATTGTATAAATATACCACAGTTTATTTATCCACTTGATTGATGGGCATTTGGGTTGGTTCCACTAGTTTGCGATTGCAAATTGTGCTGCTATAAACATGCGTACATGCAAACATCTTTTTCGTGTAATGACTTATTTTCTTCTGGGTAGATACCCAGTAATGGGATTGCTGGATCAAATAATAGTTCTACTTTTATTTCTTTTTTTTTTTTTTTTTTT